GCTTAGTTGGTAATTCTAACTTAAAGTTTACATAATCCCTTCGATATGAAAGAATATAACATGAAAATACATGTTAATACTGCCTGAATGATAACAGAATCGATAAACGAATCAAGAATATGGAACAGAAACTCGTTAATACACTTACAGAAAAGTAGGTTGTGAGAAATAAACTGATCCGTTAACACTACACCTACTTAGAGAAGCTACTGTTGTCTCTATCATTGACTTGGATAAGTTTATTACAGCATACAACTAGTCAACATGAGTAAATTTTTTTATTACATTATTGTAGGCTATTTTTAACTCATTAAAAAACGTGTTAGAATAGTGTGCATAAGAAAATAAACATGCTTTATTATTTGTACTTACGTGTCTTTGCACTTTAGCTGACATGGTCTCGCGCTGACCGCATACTAGTTAAAGGCTATAGAAATATGAACTTAACTAAAGCTAAATAGATGCATGTATTTACTATATTGTTTTCTTTTGTAGATAACGAATTTTCTGTAACAGAAAAAAACAACAAGACTCGATGAATGACGTGTAATTTTTCACAATATAAAACTCACAACGTTAATAAATAAGCACTTAAAACTTTAAAACAAACAAACTTTTTCTTTGGGCCTTCCTATGTACGTCATTTCCGTAAAGGATGCCACATAGCAATAGGTTTTCGAAGGGAAGACATCATCTGATTCCAGTGAGACATGGACTTTCCTCGGCATTGAGAGCCAACGAAAACATGGCCTAAAGAGGGCGCTTTGCCGTCGTTCTGATAATCGGCCACCGTTATCCGAAGTTGGATATTCTGCTGCAATTAAATTATTGTTCGGAATGAGTATTAAGAAACAAATAGCTTTGTTTTCAGAATATAATCACGTCTGTATGCATGAAATTACTACTATATGTTTGTAAGTATGTATTATAGGAATGAGACCGTGAATACATATACTGAATGTATTTATGTAAAATAGAACTACTTGTATATGCTAATTCAAAGGAGTATCGTCGCAGATGCGAAAAGTCGCACCATGAGTGACATGTTTATCTCCAGTATAAGTGAATTTGGTTCACAACTTATTCCTGACCATTCGAGAGAGCAATGTTGCCTGAGTAAATATTTGGATGGAGAATTATAAATATAACCTTTCCGAAGAGAATCGATTATACAGTGAGGCTTTTAATCGAGACACAACTAAAGGATAACATTTCGAAGAAGGTAGGTTTCAATTTTTTTCCTTGGGAGAAAAACAAAATTATATATATATATAAACTTGCACAAAGTGGTTTAGAACAATAACGGAAACTGAAACTCCAACCCGATCCTGATCAGTGCTCTTATATCCACAAAACGAAAAGTGTGGCTACGAAAAAGACACTTCCGACCCAAAAACCGAATTCAATAAAGCTGAAAACACGTTTTTGTATTGGTAATAAGATAATAAACAAGGATTTAAGAATTTAAAACTGACAAAGGCTCACCACAACCTTCCTGCCAAATATCGAGATCAACGGCGCATTTAAGAGAAAATCGCTCGAAATATTTGTAATCACAAGATTCCTAATCGATAATGTACGTGTTAAGTCCTCTAATTAGCTTTTGTGCTTTGGTCTTCTTAAACTTAAAGATCTTTGAGAAGTTTGACAAGATATACGGTTTGAGTCATGGTAGGATTGCCCGATGGGTCCAGAAAAAAATATAACTACGTTTTTTGTAAATATTTTTTCACGAGCGTCTATATTTTTACTCCTCTACCTAAAATAGTTTTAATCGAGTTTTATATCTTGGCTACATTTGGCAAAAATGAGTATGTATGCATTTTAAAAATGTTTTTATATATATTATAATCACATTTCATTATCATTTGGCCCCCAGTGGGACAGCGGGATGTCTGCGGACTTACAA